TTATTTTACTGGTATGAGACAGTTTATTCAAAATTATGTCAAAAACTGTCCAGAATGCCAGCGTTACAAATCATCCAACCAAAAGCCCGCTGGTTTTTTCCAAACTTCGGCTTACAACCAAAGATTTGAGGTTTTGGCTATTGATTTATTTGGCCTTTTGCCAGAGAATGCCAAAGGCAATCAATGGGTCTTCATTATTGAAGATACTGCTACAAAATGGGTAGAATTATTTCCACTGATTAAAGCTACCGCAGAAAAGTGTTCAAAAACACTTATAAACGAAGTCTTCTTACGATACGGATTTCCACGTAGAATAATATCAGATAATGGCGTACAATTCGTCTCACGAATTATACAGCAAGTCTGTCATTACTTGAATATCCGACATGACTTGACTCCACTTTTTCATCCTGAAGCTAATATGGTAGAAAGGAAAAACCGTGATCTAAAACCACGAATAGCTTTCCTTGTTGGGGAGAATCACACAACATGGGCTGAGAAGTTACCAAGCATTCGCTATGCTATGAATACTGCTAAGAGTAAAACCACTGGCTATACTGCTTCTTATCTAAACTTCACACGAGAAATGAGAAATCCTGATGAGATATCTAACAATCTTCGAACAATAACCAGTACTAACAATTTTATACCGGAGATAACTCCATACTTACAACAGATGTATACCACTCTTATTGATGCAAGATCCAATCACGAAAAAGCCCACAAGATCGTCAGAAAGAATATTCTGATGCAACAAGAAATGCTACGATAACATTTGATATTGGAGAAAGAGTGCTTGTAAAACTGAATATTGAAAGCAGTCACGAGAAGCATACTACCTTCAATTTTGACTCCAAGAGAGATGGACCGTACATTACCACTCGCGAAGTCTCTCCAACCACATAATATGTAATAGCCAACGTTGATACCCCGAGCCAACCATTGGGTGTTTATCATTGTTGTAACTTGACTAAATACTATGGAAAAGAAAATATTGGTCCATTGGTTCCGAAACGCAAAAGAGGTAGCCAAAGGACAAAACCTGTAAATGATTCTGGTCCCTCGACTTCCACAGTCTTCGACACCAAAGGGGAAGAATGTAACATATAGCACACCCTTTATACCCAACCTCGACCAGGAAAACTATTCCTCGTTACGTCGTTCTGCGCCTAGAAACAAAAATAAATTACATGCGGAGGTGGAAAGTGTTTCATTATTGTCGAGAGATACTATGGTTGACCGAGGTGCGAAGCGCCGAGGTCAACCAATTCTCGAGACAATAATGTCAAAACTTTCCACCGAATTATGTATACTATTTTATTTTGAACCATTAATTATTGAAAAAAATAAGGTAAAAATATGACAAAAATGGAATTTCGACTGACATTCTGACACCGACATTGACATCTTATGAAATTTCAACGATATAAACACAAATGTCACTTTACTTTTGTTTACTTTAAAGCAGGCCGAAAGTGACTGTTCTCCTGTCACTTTCGGCCTGGAGAACTCACTTTCGGCCCTGATAAATTGTTCTTTCACACCTGAACACAAATCCAGGTGCAATGTTTGTATTTAGGAGTAGATGTCACATGTGTTTATATTGTTGATATTTCATAAGATCTCAATGTCGGTGTCAGACTGTCAGTCGAAATTCCATTTTTGTCATATTTTTTCCATTTTTTTTTTTTTCAATAATTATTGGTTCAAAATAAAATAGTATACATACACATACATACACTCGACAATAATGAATCACTTTCCACCTCCGCATGTAATATACTATTATTTTAAACCATATATGTAATTTTCACATTCCTTACTGGTTTGAAGGTTCGAAAATGTCACTTTACTTTTGTTTACTTTAAAGCAGCCCGAAAGTGACTGTCCTCCTGTCACTTTCGGCCTGGAGAACTCACTTTTGGCCCTGATAAATTGTTCTCTCACACCTAAACAAAAATCCGGGTGCAATGTTTGTATTTAGAAGAAGATTTCGCATGTGAAATTGAAATTGAAATTTCAAGATATGTCAATCTAGGTGTCAGACTGTCAGTGAAAATTCCATTTTTGTCATATTTTTACTTTATTTTATTCACTACTTAATGGTTCAAAATAAAATAGTATACATAATTCGGTGGAAAGTGTTTCAATATTGTCGAGAGATAATATGGTTGACCGAGGTGCGAAGCGCCTAGGTCAATCAATTCTCCGCATGTAATATACTATTCTATAGAGTGAAAAATATTTTTTTTTTTTTTTATTTTACATGTATTGCATCTTCTTATTGCAAGAAATTTGGTTTTTTTAATGTTACATTATTATTATCTCTATCTTATTCTATTCTATAGCTAACTTAGGAAAATTACATTATGTATTAAAAAATACGCCGAAGAAGGACAATTGTGTTCGGCAAAACGAAAGAAATTAGTCATTCATTGCGCAAAAAGGATCTTACCTTTAACATATTTAGTGTATAGTAAGGAATTTTTGATACGCTATTCAAATTGTCTGAATTAAGTATTTGAACTAAGTCATCCATGCCCAAACAATCATTACCAAGAAACTCTGCTCTACAAGCTTTATACATGGGGCAAATGAAAAATAAATGCTGAAGTGTTTCTGCCTCTAACAAGTTACATACTGTGCATACTGTGAAAAATAACAATTAGCTGTCACCAATTTATCTCTGGCTGTCACCGGTACCGGATCATTTGGATCTGTGATTTGGATGATTCGGATCATTTTTGGCGTCAGTGTTTGAGCTGTGGTTTTAGTTTTTGTGCTAATTTTCAATGTAAAACGAATTCCAAAGTTAATAAATTCTAATAACGAGATTGTTTGTGTAATTTAAACTTTAAAACATCGTAACTTTTTTTCTATTTGAGATAGAAACTAGAAAGCTGAAATTTTTAGCGATTCTTATCCCAGTATAGGACTATAACAATCCCTGAAACTTTCAGCTCGTTTGGACTTATTTTTCCAGAAATAAAATCGTGTTAAGCAATTTGGGGGTAATTTATCAATTTTTCAATTTTCTGATTGTCCTTGTTTATGGAATCCGACTCCAAATCTCGGAATAATTTAGTGTATGGAGTTTGGGGGGTCTCCAATGATCTTTTAGATACAAAATCTCAACATGAAAAAATTTGAAATTTTATCATTTTAGTAACCTACCTAAATATCTTATGATTTAGATTGTTAAATTTTAAAAAATTATAACTTTTTTCTATTAGAGATAGAAAGCCGAAATTTCCAGCAGTTTTTATCCCAGTAGAGGACTACAATCCCTGAAAATTTCAGATCATTTGGACTTATAGTCTCAGAAATAAAATCGCGTTAAGCAATTTGGGGTGAATTATTCATAAATTTTTCAGTTTTCGGAGTGACTTTTTTCTCAGAATCCTACTCCAAATCGCAGAATAATTTCGTGTATGGAGTTTGGGGGTCACGAATGATCATTTAGATACAAAATCTCAACATAAAAAAAATTGAAATTTGGTCTTATAGTCTCAGAAATGAAATCGCGTTAAGCGATTTGGGGTGAATTTATCAATAATACAATTCTTCTGCGTGCCTTTTTCCATGATCTATGAAAAAACCTAATAAGATACAAGATATAGGGTGATTCACAAGTCCATTAGGTGATTTGCATTGGTAAAAAGTAGCTCAAAGAGAGCTACAGGGCATATTATTTTTGGGCGTCACTGACTTATAAATAGAAAAATCAAATTTTTCAAGTTCTTGTCTGGTTTTCAGAAATCATAATAATATGAAATCAATAAGGAAATATGTAAAAACTGGAAGTTTAGTTATAGAATGAAATCTCAGGAGTGCTTAAGCGCTCCGTGCCACATGATCTCAAACTTTATGATTTTGCTAATATATAAACACCCTGTTTTAGCACCTGTCGATAGGATGTCAATTATTGGAGAATATAATTACCTATCGGGGAAAGTGTTTAAAAAATCGTTCATCCACCAAACTTTATCTAACTTTTCACATATTCCTTGATTCTTTTGAGACGTAATATACAAAATTTTGGTTCTTATAACGGATTCCTATGGCATACCCTCAAGTGCAAAATAGCAGTTATTTGTTCAAGGTTTTTCTAATATGAAATTACTACCTATATATTAACTGCAAAAAGTTATGCAAAAAAAAATACTGACAAACGAAGTAAAGAGAGCTAGAAGCTCCATTGAACAATAATTTTCTTTTGAAATTCATCAGGTAAGATAAAACATAAATGAACACAACCCTATTACACATTATTGCTACTAACCATTTTCTTTTGTATTTTCTATGTTTCAGGAATTATCGACCGAATGGTAATATTATTTTTATTTTTTTTATATTATTTTTAATTGTTGCAATGTTGCCGCACCAAAATATATTCATTCTCGTGAGAAAGACTCCAAGAATTCGGTCAGCAGACCAATAATTTTCCAATTAACACAATAAAAATTCGTGACCTTCGTGGTGTTGACTAAAAATAATAATACTTACAAAAAAAACTCCATATTTATTAAGAAATTAAAACAATTACCAACAATAAAAATATTCATCTTGATTATCCGGCCTATTATTAAATGATATTTATTAGTCTAAATAGATAAATGTCGAGATCATTATCTCGACTTGCGTAATTGAAGAAATACTCGGTGAACATAAAATTAAAATATTAAATGTCGAAAACAACACCCTATATTATAACGAAAAGCCTTTAGGGCAAGGAAAAACAAAAGACCAAAACAACAATAAACAAGATAACAATCTTAACAAATGGTGTGGCAGCAATGTACGGCGCACAACACATTTTTAATTGTGTTATGCTTCATTTATTTTTAAACCCTTTTTTATTGTGCACGATAAAAAATAATTTTCCTATGAATGTTATTCCAACATCGTTTGTCTTTGAAATATAATTGCCACAGGCAAAACAATTATTATTATTATTATGATTTAATACTAACGTAAGTTTTTTCTGGTCTTCCTTCTAGCAGACAGTTACCAGTACCAGTTACAATCCATGTGGCAAAAGTGCTGGAACACCAACCAAAGCCTGGTGCATAATCTAAGATTTCGAGAGCGAGGGCCGTTAAAGTCCTGGCGGCCCGAGACAATGGCCGAGGCGATTTTTTCCGTGCTCAAAGAAGGACTGAGCCTATCTCAAGCTGCTAGAAAATACGACATACCTTATCCGACGTTTGTGCTGTACGCCAACAGAGTTCATAATATGCTGGGTCCATCAGCGGATGGGGGATCTGGTGAGTACCATGTATGATATTATTCTAGTTGAGGCGTTGTTTGTTAGAGGCAATTCTACAATAACTAAACAGAGTCTTTTCTAGATCTAAGGCCAAAAGGTAGGGGCCGGCCTCAAAGAATTCTTTTGGGAGTTTGGCCTGATGAACATATACGAGGTGTTATTCGTGCTGTAGTATTTCGGGATTCTCATCAAATTAAAGAAGAGCATCCAGCGCATATGGCCTATCCAAGATTACATGTAAGCACCAACTATCATTTAAAAAAAAAATATTAATTATACAAATTATTTTTTTTTTAATTTAGGACGGTGTTAAAAACTATCCTTTCCAAGACAGTGTAGCGATCCAAAACTACCCCAACAACGCTTGTAGCAACGGTTCAGAACCCAACGTATCACCTGGAGCAGCCGCAGCAGCAGCAGTAGCGGCGGTAGCTCAAGGACTGAGACAACAAATGTGCAGTATGGTGGCCGCTGCTCACAGTCAAAGCTCGGCGCACGACACCAACCCAGTAGCTAGCCTAGTCAATACGCTAGCTCTAGCTGGTCACGGTGTACCTTTACCTAGTAACGGAGCTCCGCCTATGAGCATGAGCCACATAGCCAGTATGCGTAGCATGAGTAGCCCTGCGGGCAGTATACAAGACTTGAGGATTAGTCCGTCGGAATCTGCCGGTATGGAAAGTCCTATATCGTCGCCTTTGGGTTTGACGGTGTCTAGTAGTATGGTGGAACCTGCCATTAACATGCATATAGGTAAGTGAATTGATAGGACCTAACTAATACTATTAAAGTGAGCCATCCTTAAGTGAAACATTTGAAAAGCATGTCGAATATTTTTTCAAAAATAATTCAGGGGTTTCTTACTTGAACTAGATTGGTTAACGTCACATTTTTCTTTTAAAAATTCTGCATCAAAACGGGATTTTATCAGTATTGAAGGTTTTGCCCTGGTAATATATTTTTCAGTGTCTCCACTCTCATTATTTTGCATTAGCATTCCTTCATCCTCATCTTCTAACTAATTCCTTGGTTCTTCTTCGCATTATCAATAGATCTTTTTTTCATAAATCGGTGTTACATTGGTTCTTTGGCAGACATTTTAAGGAATGAGTCAAGTTGGCCCTCCCATGCAGCCCCGATCTTAAAACTAAATATGTCATAATTTGGACAAATTTTTCACACTCTCCTCTGAGATACTACAACCGGTTTTCAAATGGGGAGCAAACTTGACTGCCCCATTTTGGGATATCTTGGAACTGCTCTCATTTTAGTGCAACTTCCCCTTCTTCGTTAAATAAATGGCTTCCGATAGTCTGGATTACTTGGTTCACACCAGGACCGCAACTAGAACCCTCGGCGCCCAAAACCAATCCAAATTTCTTCGTCTTAAAAAGAAAATATTTATTTGATGCTATGGTTTTGGCCCCCCATCTATCCACTGTAATTCAACTCTATAAAAATAAGCCACTGTATAAAAGATACAGGATGATCAATATTTTATTATTTCCGGCTCTTGTAGGAAATCTTCCACGAAAGCTGGTAATCGATAACAAGTCCAACACTGTATAAACATACGGGGTGATCAATATCTATTATCCACCGTAGATTAGATTAGATTTGTTTGAATAGAGATGGCGCAGAGGCGGCCTCTACCACTGCAACCTTATCAGATTTATTGTGGTATCTCATATCTGTCCTAAGAGTGCGTTCTCTAGACCCGTCTTTTTTATTAGACTCCAAAGCCATGATACTGGCCACTCCATGTAGCTTGCCGGATTGGTATTTTCCTCTCCAAACCTCGCAAACCTAAGCCTGCATAGCGCTTCGTAATGGCACCATACATGTACGGCCGTTTCTTCCGTCTCCTGGCAGAACCTGCACAGGCTATTCTCTCTCCGGCTCATTCTTTCCAGGTGCTTGTTGAGTTTACAATGGTCTATCGTTATCCTCACAATCTTGCAGCTGTGGCTTAGTAGGTCCGCTGTAAACTAGGGCAAGCAGGATTTGATAAACTACTTTGCCTGTCGTTGTCCTGGTGTTCGCTGCCATCAGCTCTGGAACTCTATGTCTATCCAGTTTTTGATAGATATTTTAAAACTGCGTACAGAAATTCCGCAGAATAGTTCTGGGCTTTTCATCTCAGTGGCCAAACCTCCTTTGGCTAAGTCATCAGATTTTTCATTTTCTGGATGGCCCTCATGGCGTGGTACCCAGGCTATGGTAAGTTTATTGGACAGGCCCACCTCCTCTAGGGCGCGTATACCCAACCAGCTTGGAGCTGATCTTTCGGGAGCTGATTGCCTTTAGGGCCGCCTGGCTGTCCGAGTAAATAACGATGTTTTTACTCTACACTTTCCTTTCATTTATCAGTATAGCACAGTGCATTACTGCAGCGATTTTCGCCCGAAACACCGTGATGTACTGTCCGAAACTTATGGATACTTCCGCCCTAGGTCTGTCCCCATAGATGCTGGTCTTGGAGCCGTCGGTGTACCAGATGTGGTCTGCTTTAATTGGAGGACCTTTTTTCCAGTTTTCCCTATCTGGTATGTCAACCCGGAAGGCCCTGAAGATGAAAATAGGTGTTGTTTTGTCTGAGGGCATCTCGAACAATGAGCCTCCTCTATTTTCCAGCTCCTGGTCCTTTGGTGTTTTATAATTATTGGACCCTAGACTGGCTTCAGTCTGTATAGTACCGCCTTTACTTCACCCTGTATGTAGATATGTAGTGGCGACAGGTTTAGCAGCACCTCCAAGGCTGCGGCTGGGGCTGTTTTCATGGCCCTCGTGATGCATACGCAGGCTAGCCTTTACACACTTCGAAGCCGTCTGATTGCTAAATTGCTACGGTCTGTATGACCTTTTTACCCCAGGCAACCATACCATAGGTTATCATTAGTCTTATCACCATTTTGTATCACCATATAGATTCATCTTTGGATTAAGTCCCCAGCTTTTTCCCCAAAGCCTTCTGCGTCTATCCAGGGAAATTTTAGTCTTCTGGGGGCCGATTCTCCGGCCAGGGAGTAGAGGTCCCCGAGAGAACAAATTCTTCGTCTATATCATTCTCATTTACTTTTCAATTACGTTGGCCAGGACGAAACATTCGTTCTATCGGGGAGCTCTGCTCCCTTAGACGAGAATTCGGCCCCTGGACAACTTTATTGAGATGTGTAGGTACCCCAGGTCATCTTTTGGTAAAAAATAACTCCTAGATATTTGACCTCTTTTCAGAAGGGGATTTTCGCTCCATTAAGCTTGTTACATCGAAGTCCTCTTAGTATTCTTTTCTTTGTGATCGGGACAATTACGGGTTTCTGCGGATTAACCGACAAGCCTTCATCCCTGTACCAGTTATCTACTATGTTCAGTGTTTTTTGAGTTCTTTCTGAGACATGTTCTATATGCCTACCTCTGACTACCAAGACTATGATGATATCATCCGCGTAGCAGTAGAATCTCTGTTTGGCCATTGTTGCCAGGAAATCGTCAACCAGGACCGCCCAATACAATGGCGATAAAACGCCTCCCTTTCTTCCCACTATTGCTTCTACTGTGTCCTCACCCAGAGTAGATGTAATTACCCTGTTTCTTAGGCTGGCTTCTATCCAGTTGCATACGGTATACGGGATATTCCTACGCTTGAGTGCGTTCATTAGTGATGTTTTTTGAACATTGTTAAACGCTCCCTCTATATCTAGAAACGTGCCTAGTGCCACCTCTTTGTCATCAATTGACTTTGTCAGGAGTCTGTTTAGGTCATCCAGTGCGGAGTCCGTAGACTTTTCTGGTTTGTCGCTTAGAGGATAGAGTGTCTGCAGTCTCTGATGTATCTATTCACAATTTTTTCCAGCGTTTTGTGCAGGAACGACGATAGACATATAGGTCTGTATGACTTGGGCGTTTTGTCTAGACACCTGCCAATCTTTGGCAGGTAGGCGACTGTCGCCATTTGCCAAACTTGTGGTATGTAGCCCCAAGCAATGCATGCTCCGGAAATTTTGCAAAGGTGTTGCATTAGTATGTCCTGACCCTTCTGGAGCAGTGCTGGGTAGATTCCATCCGGGCCTGGCGATTTGAAGGGATGGAACTCGCCTATGACCCATTTAATTCTCTCATATGTTACCAGCTCCTTTGCCCGGTCCCAGTCCACCTTTAACGGTCTTCTGGACTTTTGGACTTGATCTGTCAGCCTAGATTGATCAATGATAGATGATTCTGGAAAGTGGGTATCTATTAATAGCTCTGAGCTCGTTAGTGCCCCGTTCTATCTTTTTAGGGGGCCGAGATCGCCCGCAGTACCTTCCCTTGCAAAGACTTTGTGCACCCTAGCGCACACCGGCGTTTCTGTGATTTCTTCACAGAATTGCTCCCATGACATGACATTCTTTTTGTCTTGCGGATCTCCTTATTGTGCGTAAGTTTCATTCTGTACGTATTCCAGTCCAGGTTGATTTTGGCTTTATTAAATAGCCTTCTAACGTTGGCGTCGGATTTAAGACCCTCCTTGTTCCACCAGACTGTGTTTTTTCTTTGTTGTCTTGTTTGCTCTGGACAGTTATCCTGATAGGCCACTTGTATTGCCTGTTTAGATGGTTACCACGTATCCCCTGAGTGACTCCTCTAGGACTGTCTGGTAGCCTTGCCAGTTAGTCCTTCTTGGGTTACGAAATTTCTTGATCTCCAATTTCGAAGTTGTGATGTTGAATCTTATGTGGCGATGGTCTGAACATGATACTTCGTCGGAGAAATACCAGTTCGTAATGTTATCGTTGACATCATGGCTACAAAAAGTTAGATCAAGGACCTCACGCCTGACTGATGTTACGAAAGTGGGTTCTGCACCTATATTACCTATATCTAACCCTTCACCCATTATGAATTCATGCAAGCACTTATCTGTCATTTGTGTTGGTGCTTCCCCAGATTGTGTGGTGGGCGTTTCCATCGCCTCCAACGAACCCACTGTAATTTGACCCAACAAAAATAAGCCAGTTCATAAAGATACAGAGTGATCAACAACTTATTATTCCCGGCTCTTGTAGGAAATCTTTCACGAAGCTGGTAATCAAAAACAATTTCACCATTGTGTAAAGATACAGAGTGATCAATATTTTATTATCCCTGGCTCTCAAAGTAGAAAATATTTCACGAGAGCCGGTCATAAAAAACAATTCTACCCACTGTAATGTAGTTTTGACCTTCTCTATACACTGGAATTTTTATTTTTCCAAAATTCGGATAATTTCGAGGCCGAGTTCGTTTATTACATCTGCGAGCAAAAAGAGCAAATTTTGACGGACCTCACGTTATCACTTATCTTTTTCCACATGTCAAATCACGTGACATCTGTCAAAATTTGTTCTTTTTGCTCGCAGATGTAATAAACGAACTCAGCCTCGATTTTCCATTTTGTAGGGTATAGAAGAGGGCTGGAAACTCCTGGAAAACAGGAAATTAAGGGGGGGGGGAAGTGGGTTCCGACATTTCTCTGGACCTCCTCTATGACGTAGTGAAAAAAAATCTGGGAAATTTCGACTTTGATTTTTTTGGCATTGACAATCCTACGATAGGTTGTATATTAATTTTTGGCACTCGCGCCTAGTTCGCCACCCCCTAGTTGCAGCCCTGGCTCACATATAATAATTGACGTTTTCAATTAAAAGAGATGGACAATAAAGTATGAAAACAATCATTTTCCCGCCAACATTTTGCTTGCTTGTCAATGCCAGTGTTTATTGGGTGTTTTGAAA